CCCATTCCCAAATGGGATTATAACCCCAGGCATAGAGGTTAGGATTTACAACATGTATTTTGGGGGGACAGAATTCAGTCCATAACAGGAGGGGACTTCTTGCAACGTTTCTGTAAGTTTGGAACTATGTCCAAATGAAAAATTAAATGTGTTTGTTTTGGTGGGGGGGGGTGGGTGGCGATGAACATGTAATTTAATTAAATTATATATCTTGAAGGTCGCGAATGATCACATTTAAACTGAAATGTACAGAATAAATTGGTACTGATAGCATATGAGTTTGTTTGGGGGGCTTGTCTACATGAAAACCAAAAGCAAAAAAACCAAACCCGTTACCATCAAGTCGATTCTGACTCATAGCAACCCTATAGGACAGAGTAGAACTACCCCCTAGGGTTTCCAAGGAGCACCTGGTGGATTGGAACTGCCTTTTCTTCTCATTCCAGGTGAATGAGAACTTTGCCATTGACTTGATCGCCGAGCAGCCCGTGAGTGAGGTAGAGAGCCGCGTGATATCGTGTGACGGCGGCGGCGGAGCGCTGGGCCACCCGAGAGTGTACATAAACTTGGTACCGTGACCTCGTCAGTTCCTTCTCCGCAAGCATGTTCTGATCATTTGTTAGTGGCCAGAGTTCACCTTCACTCCCGAGCCCCCAGCCTTTCTTTCCTACGCTTACCTGCTCAGGTAGTCCTTCCATGTTCACTGAGACGGCCCATCCACCCATGTGGTCTTGCCTTCAGAACCGTACTCGGGGGCCTAAGTAAGATGACATGCCTGAAGGTGGTTTTTCAATGGTGACGTGGTGTACAATGTGGCAGTGTCATTGGCACCTCCCTCTTCTCAGATGTGTAGGCATCTGCCTTTCATCCCCGAGCCCTCCACGGTTTGTAATGCTTTGTGTCTGTTGATAAGCCTAGAATACAGGCAGCAGAGAAGGAGGGAGCACAGGACGGGAGACCAGAGGGAGACCATGGCCTACAGCCAAATGGGAATGTAGCGTCAGGGAGGTGAAGGAAGTCTGTGGTAAAAGCTTTAGTCATAGGCAGTTGGTTCCTAGTCCTTGGCTAAGAGGACCCTGTCTTTATTCAGGGTTCCTTCATTAAAGCCGTCATTTAGCTTGGGTGCCTGTCCTGAGGACAGTATGAAGTGTGTACGCTGTGAAGCAGCCTAGAGCAGGACCCCCGCGGCCCCTTCCGCGTGTGTCCTGGCATACCCCCGGGGGCTGAGCCTCACAGTGTGGCGTCCCAGTCGTCCCAGGACTCTTGTAGCCCATGTGGTGACAGTCCTTTGAGGTGGACGTGGTACAGAGCCCGAGCCTGGGGCTGGGAGGTGTCCGGTCCTTTGCCCACGGTCTCCAGTGGGTTGGGAGAAGTGGAATTGACACACAGTTCATTCCGAGCCTCGCATTTTAAAGCTGCTTATGGTTGACATTCTATTTGAAGTTTCGTATTTACTGTTTAATGTCTAGTGTCTAAACGTGTTGGGATTTGAAGTAGAATATGGAAATACGCGATCTCTCCTTTTGAATTCTTTTCAGGACAAAGAAACAAAAACGGGGACCTGTGGTTACTGTGGGCTCCAGTTCAGACAGCACCATCACTAAGCTGGATGGCGCTTCCGTTCGAACAGCACCGTCGCTAATGTGGACGGCGACTCCATCTCAGCGGCACCGTCCCCACAGCGCGTGGTGCGCTCCTGGTCCCGAGAGGCGGCGCGTGTAGGCTGCGGTGTCAGGGATGAAGCACCAAGAGATCCTGAGCGCTGTGGGGAGAATTCTGTCTGAATAAAGATGTTACTGTAAAGGAAGACGGTACATAGTTGTTTTTGTTTTTGTTTTTTTTTCATAGAATGAACTTTTGAAAATGTGTATTTATTTACAAATCAGAATTGAAAGCAGGCCCCGTCTCTAGGGTGAAGCCTCTGACCTATCCTTCAGAGAGGCTCTTCAGACAGCGGCAGCGGGCGGCTGAAAGAACCGGGAGGGGACAGAGAGCAAAGGGCCGCATCTGTTAATCTGCAGATGAAACTGAGAGCTTAGTTGGCTTCCGAGGCCACAGCTGAAAGGGGCCGGTGCCAGCATGGAGCCTGGCTTCATCTGTCTGGAAAGCTCGCACTGTTTCCCTGTTGCTTACATGCAAAGTTAAATTTCCCTCCCATCCTAATTTTGATGGTGAAACATACTATTTTAAAATCCTGAAATTTAAGTATCTATTTGAAGGTATTAAAAGTTACTTACTGTCTAAATGTAGGACAACCTGTGTATTTAAAAGAGCAGTGATTATAATACAATATAACACAAAATACAAGTAGAATAAAATTATGAGGGAAAAGATAAGAGGCTTGGTAAAATGATCCGGAGCCCTGACGTGGGTAAATGGGAATTCCAGATGGAGGAGATATGGGAGAAATGGTGCGAGAGGCACTGATGAAACACACGGGAGAGGAAATGCCCTGAGCTGAAGGAGAGCCTGCGGCCGCAAGGGCATGCCAGATTCCCGGCAAACCTGGTGAGAAAAGACACAAAACTGGGTATACCCCGGCTTAGAAACAAAAAGTAACCTCTAACTGGCAGTGTTTCGAGCAAAGAAGACCTTAGCTTCCAGATGGAAGAATATGTTCTAATGGAAAAGATGTCTGAATTACACCCAACTTTTCATCTTCAGTACTAAGATGGTAGAATAGTATTGATAGAATAGTCAAGAATCCCATGTGCAACCACAGTAGAATTCACTGATGCTGAGAAATGCATTTATGGAGGAATTCAGAGTTTCACTCCTGGCCCTGTGTGGGCAGCACACCCGGAGGAAGAGCCTTTCCCCAAAGGAGCGGAGCACAGTCCAGGAGGCAGGGAAGAAGGGGTGAAAGCCATCGACAGACAAGTTTGCATGAAATTGTTCAAACTATGTTCAAACTACTGCCCAGGAGTTTATTCTAATTAAGGCCTCTTCAAATAGTAGCTAAATCACACAGTCTAATCTAAATACTAGGTACTAAGTATGGGCCACTTTCTCTTTGAGGAGCCCTGGTAGCGCAGTGGTTAAGCGCTTGGCTGCTAACGAAAAGGTCGATGGTTCCAAGTCACCAGCCGCTCCGCTGGAGAGCGACGTGGCAGTCTGCTTCTGTAAAGATTAGAGCCTTGGAAACTGGGGCAGTTCGACTCTGTCCTGTTGGGTTGCTATGAGTTGGAATTGACAGCAGTGGTTTTTTTTTTTTAGGTTTAAGGAGTGGAGAGGGAGGAAGGGACATCAAGGGATTCTGAAGGCCTCATGGGGTAGGATGCGATGCAGAAAAGAAAGTGTTGTAGAAGTCTCCTGTCAGCAGAGTGAACTGGAGAGCAGGATTAAGAAAGGTAAAGATGAGGGACATGGATTTCCCTGATTTTAAGTAACCGGAGAAATGTGTTTATGAACACGGTAAACAAAGCTGTATCATTCGGCGTCCCACCGAGGAGAGACCCAGGCCAGGAAATTGCATACCCGAAGCTGAGAAGAAACTAGCAGTGACGTAACCCAGGTAAGGGCTGGAAGCTGCTACCAGCCCTGAGGCTGAAGAGATGAGGGGAGAAGGGGCTTGTAAAAAGTGGCATGGGGGAGGTGTCTGACCTCTCTAACTTCCGGAGGTGGAAAGTAGATCACCAAGCCTTTCTTCCCAGTCTGTCTTTACTCAAGAACAACAACAACATGCTTATGTTCAAATATATGGGAATAATCTACTTTTTATGCTATTTGTAGTGTAGTCTGAGAACATCCTCGGTATGATTTTGGTC